AGAGGTAATATAAATCCATACAGAACATACTCATCAATTTTTTTTTAATCTGCTGTTATCACAAAAGTAGGGTATTTTATTGCAATAGAGAGAGGGAGAGAGAGACGTATACACATATTTTTTTTTTTGTTTATTTTTTTACTTTTTAAATGTTAATATTTTCTTGCCAAGAGTGCCAAACCCTCGTCTATATGACGAAAAGAAACTAAAAGTTTGACGGATTCAAATAGCAAAAAAAAGACAAGACAAAAATTTATTTAATTTATTGAAATTTGGTTGATGACTGCTTGACAATACTCGGAAGAGCTTTGTATGGTCAGCCAAATATCAATACATTAAATAAATTTTTGACCTTGTCTTTTCATTGCTATTCGAATCCGTCTAATCTTTAATTTAATTATTTGTTGATACTATCTTTCGTGTCCATTTAAATTAGTTGCTTTATTTAAGAATATTGGCTAGATGTAGGACATTCATCTAAAAGGAATTCTAGATTTTTTAAAATTTTAAAAGAATTTTAGACTTTGTAAAATCTAAAAGGAACTTTGTAGACTTTGGTTTTTAAATCTCTGAATTCTTAAAAGAAATATTCTCTAAGTTTTTGTTTTCTTGCATAATAGATCAATAGCCCTGACTGAATTATTGTCAGTTGTTTGATTGCGTGGTTGCAGTAGCAGGCCATTAGATAAGCGATTTTTCGCCGTCCCTCGCAAGAACTCTAGCATAGAAAAGTAGAGACTAAAACCATTCTTCCGAATTTAGTTAATTTAATAGGTCTTTCATCTTCACCGATGAACAGTTTGATAAACTATTAACGAAGTATCTTCCTAAGAACATATATCATCTGGACGTAAAAACCAGGCATTCACAGAATAATTATCAGTATTCTCTAAGTTTTTTTATTGCACAATAGACCTATATTCCTAACTGAATTATCGTCAGTATCGCCGGTATAAGCTAACTTAAAGTTGTTAAGCTTTTCATATTTTAAATACATAATATTTATTATATTATATATATAATATTAAAATTAAAACTATATATATAAAAGGGGATAAACCTATAGGTTTAAACCTATAGAACTTGTTTATTAGTACTGTTCAAAAAAGGACCAAATTTTGATCGTCTAATTTTAATTCTACCACAGGGTTGGCATTTTCTTTATCATTGTGAGGTGTCACCTAAGAAATCGCTGCACTCCTATTCCCCTTTTCATAACTCCTCACTCCACACACTCATATATTTCAACATAATTCATAATTTTTTATTGAGTCTTCATGCAGTTGCCGTCCTCGTCCTCGACGTCATAACTCAAAATCAAAAAACAAATAAAAACAATAAAAATAAATAAAAAAAAATTCGATTGTATTAAATTTGTTATGCAAATTGTTTTTTTGAAACTCAAATCAAAGTTCAAAAGTAAAATCAAAATAATTTAAAAACAAAATAAATTTAAGCACATAAACATTTTGAAAAGCATACAAAGAGTAAGCAAAATGAAAGAAAAAAACCTCCAAAAACAACAAAAATAATAATGAAATATTATATAGAAAAAGAAAAAAAAAAGTTAATAAAAATCAAGAACAAAAATTAAATCAAATAAAAAAAGTTTTGGCAAATATTTATCAGATGTGAAACAATAAAATAACAACAACAGCAACAACCAAACATAAGTGACATTAAATAAAAGCATAATTATTATGCTTGTGTGTGTATGTGAGTGTAATTACACATACAATACGCAAAAATTCATAAACATATGTTTGTATGTAACACAACTGCCTTATGTTAAGTATGCACAAAAGGCAGTTTTATTAAAATTAGCATACTTACTTCTTCACTTCACTTGTTGTTGTTGTTGTTGTTATTGTTGTGTTTACTGCGCTGGATTGCGCTTACATTACTGCTGCCAACACCATTGCCGCCTGCCTTATTGTATGTGAGTGTGTTTTTCAATTTTAATGCTAATGTGCAAATTGGTACAAAATGGGCGCGGCACATGGTATTATAACAAATACAAGTATAATAATAACAGCTTGAATAGGGGCACACAGCAACAACAACGGCAACAACAACAACACTAACGCAAAATATATTACACATAACAATCACAATAAAGGCTTTAACGCCTTTTACACTTTTTCCGCTGCTTTTACTTTCTTCAGTCTTTACTGACGCTGGCACTGACGCTATTTTTGTTGGTATTCTATTGTTGTTGTTGGTATTGTTGGTG